TGTGTGTGTGTGTGTGTGTGTGTGTGTGTGTGTGTGTGTGTGTGTGTTTTGAGACAGGATCTCAAAGGGTGGCCTTGAACTCATCTTACACTCCTGATTCTCTGTCATGCCCAGCTGGTTTGTGGATTTGAAACTTTTAAAAACTCCTTCTGGTTTTGCTCTTATGGTCCAAGTATGGACACAACAGTCCCGGGCCTCACAGATCAGCTGTTAGCAACCTCAAGCTACAGTTTGAGGCGGGTGTTCCCAACCTTCTACCGTCACAGAGCACCAGTGGCCCATCACCTCTGTCCTCCTGTGTGCCCTTGTAATCAAATTGTCTTAGAAAGGGCTTCAAGAAGCAACATCAATCAAAGCTGAGGTTTGGGACTTTTTTAAAAAATTCTTTATTTTGCCAATACGCACACTCTGTGGCAGGTCAGAACAGCTGGTACTGGTTATTGAACCCAGATCATCAGAACAAGCTTCCTACCCACTGGGCTAGCCTACTGGCCCCAAAGCTAGAACATTTATTGTTGTTGTTTGCATTGGTTTTGGTTATTTGAGACAAGGTGTCGCCGGTTAGCACTATCCGTTCCAGACTTGATTTATAGGCCAGACTAGGCTTGAACTCAGAGATCCACCTGCCTCTGCCTCCCCAGTTGCTGGACTACAGGCATGCACCACAACCCCCAGTGCCAGATCAGTTTTGAGATATGTTTTGTGTGTGTGTGTGTTATTTTGTTAGTTTGGTTTTCTTTGTTGTTGTTTTCATTTTTTTTGTTTTTGTTTTTTTGCCTTTCGCCTTTTGCCTTTTTAAATGATAGAAAGACTCTAAACATCATTCTAAGAGAGCTCTCAGCTACAGGCACCCTTCTTCCTCCTCCATCTGCCATTTGCTTCTGCTAAAGAAACGCAGTGTCACTGGGCCTGAAAATAAGAGTCTTACAACTTGCTGTTGCTTCCCAGGTTTCACAAATGATTAGCACCCATAACACCAAGAACTTGCTACAAAAGGACAGTGACAGCCCTCCGGAAAAAAACAAGATCTGGACTACCGAGAGAGGACACATTCCATGATGGAGATTCCTCCGCTGTGCTCAGGCTGCCTGCTTTGAACACTTGCAAATTCTGTCTGTGGCCGGCAGGCGTGGGAACCACTTGACTGTTCACCTGGAGTCTCACGGAGAAGGCCCCAGAATTCAGGGTCACTCACGGAGTGTGCTGAGCAACCAAGAATTCCCACCGGGACACCCCAGGTGTGTGTGGGGGTGTACCCTTCTTGGACTGGACCTTGGATGGTGGCTTTCCGCCCCCTCCCCCCTTTGTAAGTTGTTTGGTAGGGCAGGTTGGTAGCGCCTCTTTAGCTGCTCGCCAGGAGAGAGCCGCTAAAGACTGCTCATCCTCACAAGGAGAAGCCAGCTCGCAAGTGAGACTTCCTGCAAGCGGCCCCCAGGCTCTCCACAGCCAGCGCGGTCTCACGCTTTACTGTGGGGGTGGGAACCTGTGGGGTCAGTAGACAGACTTCTGCTTCATCTCCTAGCAGGAAATTCCTTAAGCTTCACTTCCCGTCTCTCGTGGCTTGTATATTTTTTCTCTTTGCCCTTTTTATGAAAATGTCTTGGTTGTCAAATAAAATCCTGTGTTAAAGACACAAGTGGCTTCTGTGACATCCAAGGATAGACCCTCTATAGCAAGAGTGTTGACTTTAGTCAAAAAGAAGTAACAAGGGTTGGGAGTGTAGCCTAAATGCACAAGGTCCTGGGTTCGGTCACCAGCACAGGGCACGGGGAAGGGGGAGAGAAAGATGGGAGAAAGTGAGTTCATTTTGTGTGTTCTTAGCTTACATCTAAAACGCTCACATGGGCACACAATGTGCCCATAACTTGAGTTGTGGATGAAGAGGTTAGGAAGTACCCGGGACTCCCAAAGCCAGGCCATGCTGCCTTGGGGCCAACACACACACACACACACACACACACACACGTTTTCACCCACAGTGATACTAGAAGCTCTTTTGATAGAAAAGAACAGGTGTTTGTGCCAGCCGTTGAAAGGCTTTGGAGTCTGTTAGCAAAAAGGAGAGTTATTTTATTTGTTTGTTCATTCATTCATTCATTCAGCCATTTATGAGACAGGGTTTCACTACGTAGCTATGGCTTGCCTAAAACTCAATATATAAATGGCCTGGAACTTATAGATATCTACCTGGCTCTAGCTCCTGAGTGCTGGGATTAAAGGTGTGAGCCCGTACCTGGCAATTTTTTTTTAATTTAAACTTTTTATTCCATGTATGTGTTTGGTGTGTATGTGTAAATGCCAGAGAACAACTTTTAGAAGTTGATCCTGTCCTTCTGCTGTGATTCCAGAACTCAGGTCATGAGACTTGTCCTGAAGCATCCGGCCAGTTGATCCTGGCCAATTCTTTCTTTGTCCTGTTCTGTTCTTTTCTTTTCTCTTCTTTTTTTTTTGAGACAAAGTTTGTCTATGTAGCCTTGGCTGTCCTAGACTTGCACTGTAGACCAGGCTGGCCTCTGCCTCCCAGAGTGCTGGGATCGCATGTTTGTGCCACCGTGCCCAGCTCAACTTTTCTTTTTTCAAAAAAAGAACTTTCTTCTTTATAGCGTAATGGGGTTTTACACATCAGTAGCCATCATGTTCCTGAATACATCTTGCTAAGGTTTTGGTTTTTTTCTTTTGTAATAAGATAAGGGGAAAAAAGAACAGGCATACACCATACATGGCTGACAATTACAGAGAGGAACTTCTGTAGGTAACAGGTTTTACAGAATGAAGACATAAAAACCTATCACCATGTGTCCCCACTGTCCAGGCCTATTTCCATTTCAGCTCTTGCTCACGAAGGTCAAGCCAGGGACTCTGCATCAAGACAAGCTCGTACCAAAGCAAAGGTGTAAAACCAGAGTTACAATTTGTTCCTTTGCTAATCATGTTTTAGCTTTGCAGCCAAAGAGGGAGTGACCAAGGAGCAACAGCAGAGCTGGAGTCAGGGTGGAGAGGAAGAATTCCAAATTTTAACAAACCCCTCCATTACCCCACTGTGGGCTTTGCAGCCTATGACCAGCAAGGCAAAGCCTGCTGCAACTGGAATGTGCATTCACAGAAGCCTTGTACCGTGGTCCATCCGCCTGCAGTTCAAAGAAGGGTGTTCTGAGGTCTCTGACAGTCACAGAAGAAAGGGTCCCTCCAGAGGTAGCGCAGTGCAGCCCACTCCTGCATCTGAGATGCAACTGAGGCAGAGCTGGGTGTGCTGGTGGGGGTCACGCAGTGGGGTGTAGGAGGCCCCCAGGTGAGACAAATGCTTTCTGTAAATGACAGGCCATGTCCCAAGACTCGAGGGAGGATGGCAAAGGGTCAAGGTGGTCTCTTGCCCTCACCACGCTATGGAAACAGTGCAACCCAGCTGCATGCAGCTTCAGACCCGTCCACAGCGGAAGGAAGAGCACAGCTCAAGATAGCTCATCCACCTCAGACTGTGGCATTTGAGCATCTCCCTGCTTCTGTCTCTGCAGTTACATTTGCTTGTTTACATGTTCCGGCGCAGCTGGGCTGGCACAGTGGGCTGGCCGTGTGCAGTGTGGCAGACAGCTGTTAAGATGGCTCAGCTGGATGAAGCCTGGCTGCAGAGGGCTGCAGTGCGGAGCTCTGTACTCAGTACTCAAGACACAGCTGAGCTGTCACTACTGCCTAAATGTCTTCAATAAATACGTTATGCTACTATGCCGGCCTTCACTTTAAATAGGCCATATTCCAAGCACAAAGAAAAACACATTGAATTGTTCCTCGTGGTTTTGCTTAGTAGCCTAAAATTGCAAACACTCAAAGGCCCAACAAAAATTATTTCAAAACTCTGGGTTCAAAACCCAGCATGGTTTTTAAAAAGGTGGAGGCATCAAGGAACTAGTTAGATAAATCATGATCCAGCTTTATAAGTGAGTTTATGCCACTGCTAAGAAATATATTAGCTGAGTGCCTTTAATCCCAGCACTTTAGAAATAAAAGCAGGTGGATCTCTGTGAATTCAAGGCTAGCAGGGCCTTGTTGAGAACTTGTCTCAAAGTATATATATCTGTGTGTGTGTGTAATATATATATATATATATAATAAAATACTTAAGAAAAAGGAGCTATCACCCCATTCTTCTACAAGGTGGATTTTTTCTAATAATCTGCTGAGGCCACCAAACATATTTTTATATTTGTAGAAAAGGGGCTATAAAAATGCATTCCAAGAGAAAACTAAAAACTGTGGTAGCATGTTGGGCGTCTCCCTGCAAGGTGGATGACGCCCAGCAGGGATTCTGGGGAGGAAGGACTCTGCTCCATCGAGAGGCAGGCCACTGAGGGTTAGACTATGCCCCAGTGAATACATAAGTAACATAAATTAGACTTTTTGCTTTGTTCTGGGTGATTTTTGTTTGTTTTTGCTGGGAGAAGTGCCAAGGGCAGGGAAGGGCAGGGAAGGACTGGGAAGCAGATGTGATTGGTTGTATGATGTGAAAGCCCCAAGGAATCAATAAAAACATTATATTGGGGGGGGGGTTACTCCAGGAGATGGCTCATTGGTTAAGAATGTTGGCTGCTTTTCAGAGGACTCAGGTTCAAGTCCCAGTACCTGCATGGTCTCACACAGCAGTCTGTGACTCGAGTTCCAGGTGGATCCAATGCCACAACCACCAGGTATGCAAGGATTCAAGACATTCATGCAGGCTAAAGACCATATGCACAAAAATGATTTTTTTAATAAAAAGAATTTACATTAAGCTGTTATTGGCAGTGACATTGGAGACCTTCCATTTCTGCTTTGTAGAAGCATAAGCCAGAGGCAGGGCTCAAGCAGTAGAGTGCTTCTCTGGTGTGCACGAAGCTCTGGGCTCAGCTGTATAATCTCACAAACCCTGTGCCATAGTGCTGTGGTCTCAGCACTCAGAAGGTGGAAGGAAGAGGATCAGAAATTTAAGGTTATCTTTGGCTACATAATAAATTTGAGACCTCATCTCAAAATAGAGAAATAAAAATAAAACCTCAAGTATAGAACATTGCAGAAATGAGTGTTAAAAAATTAGTGTTTGATCCTCTTGTTGTGTGGATCTGTGCTTTCACATATTAATTTTTGGAAAAGAGCCATTGCTATTGTAAAAAAAAAATACAATATTTAAATACAAGCAATTCTTTCATAAATGTAGCATAATTATTGTAGTGTGTCTTAGGCCACAACATGGCAGGCCCCTCGCCTGCAGCCTGAATGGCCTTGGCTGTCTGATATAATGCCTTTAAGCAGCTGTGTCTGCCCTCTGCCCTGTGGGGGACTGACAACAGCAAGCAGAGACATCTAGAAACAGCCCTGGTGGTCTCTGTCTCCTTCAAAGAAAAGCAGCGGCAGGTGCGCTGCCCACCAGGCCTATCCACAGGTGGCGCGGGGTGGGGGGGCTTCGACACCAGCCCTCCCTCTCTTTGATCCTCACTCATTGTGCCCCCCACACAGCAGCTCCCCCGCACCTATAGGAAGTGGGCGGCTTGTTTTCAGAAAGAGATTCCCCAGCTCCTGTGGGCTGTGAAGCCGATCGAATCTACCACCCAGTCAAAGAGAAAGAGAGAAACAGCCCTGGGGTCACAGGCCTCTCCAGGTGGCAAAGGACAGAGAGATTTCCTCTGCCGTTTCTTAGGAAACCTCCTCAGTTCGTCACTGACACTCTTTAGGACATGAATCATTGCTTCCCGGAATCACCCTAGAGTGCACGGACTTGGACCTGCATCCATGGTCTCACCATCTGGGACACGTGGACGTATGCACCACACCTCTGGTTTTGTGGGAGGGGGGTGTTGTTCTTGTTTTATTGTCTGTTGTTGTTTTAGGGAGGTTGTTTATATTCAGTTTTGTTTTTTGTTGTTTTGATTTATTGTCCCTTTGAGACCGGGTCTCAAAAGTCCTGGACAACAACTTGCTATGTAGTCTTGGCTGTCACTGAGCTGCTGACAGTGCTCCCCTCCTGTGCTCTCCTCCTGTGTCCACCTCCACCCTCCACCCCCAAGTGCTGCTTAAAAGAGCACGCCTCCGTGCCTGACTGTTCTGCTTTGAGATAGGCTGTTCCTTGTGGAGTCTGAGCCTTCTTCCTCGGGAATCTTGGTACTAGTTCAAATGGACTTATTTGGGCCAGCTTTCTTCCCTGTCCTGGTACACGGATCAGGAGGAGTGCAACAGGGAAAGACCAAGTTAGCAGGGCGCTAGGCTCAAGAAGACTCCTCAGGGTTCTTTTCACCAACCAGAGAAAGCCACAGCCTGTAGAAGCCCACCGGCTTTTCCTGTCACGTGTTCACACGGGCAGTGTTCCTAAGCCTTGGTGCAGGAAACTGAGGAGGAAACCAAGTAAAACGCCAAGTAGGGCTCTTCACTATCCCAAAGTAGATTCTCCTGAACTGAGTGAGCCAGCACATGCCCCTCCTGTGCTCCCCTCCTGTGCTCCCCTCCTGTGCTCCCCTCCAGTGCTCTCCTCCTGTGCCCCCTCCTGTGTTCCTCTCCTGTGCCCCCCTCCTGTATTATCCTGTGTTCCCTGCTGTATTCCCCTCCTATGCTCCCCTCCTGTGTTCCTCTCCTGTGCTCCCCTC